TACATGTAGTCCTCAAAGCCGTGTCTAATCTGCGTAATTTTCAGAATATGAATAAAAAATTGCGGCCACTTCCTAAAAAGTGAGCCAATTTTTCCCCAATCACAAATGTTTTGGTGTTATTTTGTTGGAGAATTGATGAGACATTAAGCAAACAGAGCTTCACAGCATCGTGATAGTTATAATCACTTTACAGATACATGTATAATTATATAGAAGGTATTTGGAGGAGGTCAAGAGACAGCACATGAACTTTTAAGATCGTCAGCACAATATTTAGGTTTTGCAGTAAAAGCAAAAATGAACAGTTTCCTCAAGAGGTAAACGATAGACGGCGCGCACTAGTACTGTATCCAGTTTACAGGGAGGCTCGTGATCGCGGGCAAAATGCTCGACTGAATCTAGACAAATTGTTCATTGACGGAAGGCTATACAACCACCCCCACAAGAACAAGCTACCACGACCTCCTTTGAGGCCCGCCGTGATCCAAACCGTCCTTCCGGTTCCGGTCCCGCTTCCGGTCACGGTAGGAGATGGCAACACGTGCACGCGGACATTCTAACCATCAGTACAGCTAGGGGGACGTCACAAGAGGTCTATCACGTGACCTATATAGTGACTCTGATAATACTGTTACTACTAGAGAAACTGATTGTACAGAACTACTTAAACTCTCATGTCTAAATGTATGTGGTATCAAATCAAAACTTAATTTACCTGAATTTGCATTATTGATTGAATCCTATGATATATTATTTTTTGTTGAAAGTAAGATGGATGATTTTGATGTATAACAGCTACCACGCGGGTTTGCATACTTTTGTAAAAATAGGTTAAAAAAGGTGAGGAAGAAATCTGGTGGTATTGTTATCATATATAAAGAAGAATTGAAATCGCAGCTACTCTTTCACCACACTCCTTCAGATTTTGTCCAATGGATAAGATTATCAAAATACTTGATGTTATTGGGATGTGTATATATTCCTCCTGAAAACTCTAAATATTCATCAACGGAATGTTTTGAAGAAATAGAAAATGAGATGAATGGTCTGACTGAAAACAGTTGTAAACTAGCACTTGTTGGTGATTTTAATGCCAAAACTCAATGTAAAGATGATTTTGTACACCTGACGACACACTTATTGAAGCACTTGATGTAAATATGAATGATGAACTTATTTATATGATTAAACGAACTTGGTGTACCATTTAAACGAGCTAGCCAGTGTAAAGCAAGATCAAATAGTTTCGGGTATAAATTGCTTGATTTTTGTAAAGAAAATAATTTATATATTGCCAATGGTCGAGCTGGGAAAGACAAATTAGTTGGGAAGACAACTTGTAATGATACCAGTGTAATTGACTATCTCTCATTGTCATCAGATCTTTTGGAAATTGTAACAAATTTTGAAATTCTAGATTTTGATCCTTTAATTTCTGATGTTCATTGTATACTCGAATTTTGTTTGAAAAGAACGGAAGTGCAAAATATATATGTTAGAAGTAAGGACTTACCCACAAGTAACTATGTTAAATGGAATAATGACAAGGTATCGAACTTCGTCAATTATATTGAAGAAGATAATAATGGTACTTTAAAAGAAATTGTTAAAAAATTGGACCTGATTACGGGAAAACCTAGCAATTTAGTTACAGCTGTTTAAATAAATGATGTAGTAAATAAAATGAGCAATTTATTCAAAGATTCAGCAAAACATAACTTTGGGGGAAAGAAGGTTTTTCATCAAACATAAAAAAGTAAAACAAACTAGAAAACCATGGTTTACTCGGGAATGTCATCTTAAAAATTTAGATTTTCATAGAGCCAAACGTCGTCATAATGCCCATAAAATTCTCACAAACAAAATTACTCTTAAAAATACTGGTATAGAATACAGGAGAACTTTGAATACATTTTATAAAATTCATCAAGAGAAAATAGAAATGGAATTAAGAAAAGTTTCAAAAATAGAGCCGAAAACATTCTAGCACATTCTTAATGAACTCGACGGCACTTGTAAGGGGGCAGAATGTTGATAAAAATATCAATGAATTATACATCTACTTTAAAGATCTGAACAAGGGAGGTAACTCTTTCTGAAATCTTTCAAAGCGAAACGATCTGTTGAATGGAGAAATTACCGAATGTGAAATTACTAAAACCATTTCTTGTTTAAGTAACAATACGGCTTCAGGTTATGATGGAATCTTGAATGAATATTTAAAATCCACTACGCACTTGTGAAAACTATCAAAATATTAGCAACACGAGTGAAATATATTTGGTATTACTGAAGACACTGTTAGATATGTTTTTCTCGCATAACACCGTAGGGTTTTTTGTTCATGAAGTTTCTAACTAAGCTCCTTTTGGTTTGGGTTTTGCATGTTTCGTTTTATGCTTGATAAAAATGTAGATATCTTGTATGATCAGAGAAGTTAATTAATAATGTTACAAAGAAACGCATATTAAATGGAGAAAGAATATATGTCAGATATAAGAAATTCGACCTTGTTCTTGCTTTTAAAAACAAGAATATACAGCCAAGCTGCTGGACACGAAATATTTTAATAAAAGTCAATACCTGTCAGATGCAAACGGAGTGAATGGATCCTGTATGCTTCAATTTATTCTTCGAATAGGTTTGTTAAGGACGCTAATTTGATCGTTCAGAATATTTTGTTCACGCTCAGTATCCTCAAATGCTGCACTATTGTCACTTAATAATTTTCCCAAGGCATGAAAATGCACATTTTTAACTGCACCTTTAAATGTCAAAGTTAGTTTCATTGTTTTGTAATATTTTATTTTAATACACATTTGTTAATATTTGTCCTGTTAGCCTATTCTCCTGTACTATATTTATTCTGTAGATATAAAGAGGAATACTACAATATGTATATCCATACGAGTTATGCATATGATATTCAACGGGAAACCCATTAAATTTTCTATTCATTACATTTTAAAAGGTAGTGCGTCGTATATACTGCTACGTCAGAAAGGTGCGGGAATTAATATTGGTAGCGTTATATTTCACGCCAGGTTCTAATGACGTCACGCTTACGCTTGACAACAAACCAGAGCGCCATTGCGAATTGGTCACTCAACGCAAATAAGGTTTCCACACAGAAATTATGTAGTAATGTAACATAAATGATATGTTGCAGAGTCGCATAAAAACAACACGTATTCTACCGTCGCATCATGTGAATAGAAAGAAACGTTCTGATTGGACAATACTAAAAGTGATTTCTTCACATGTGAAGATAAAACATTTTGTATGTCTTCGCTGTAGTGAAAATAAAGTTTTTACCCTGCTGTTTCACTGGTAGGTTATATAAATACTGATAACGTAAGGGTGAATTCTTATTTTTTGTAGACTGTATGTGGCCTGAATTTCCAAGAAGGCTTTCAGGCATGGGGAAGCACTTCTCAATCCTGTTTCTAAGTCTGTGCCCCCGAAAACAACACTAATTAACATCAATTTTAGGTTTCCTCTCACAGAGTACTTGAAACAAGAGTTTGCTAAAGGCACCACTGTAACGGGAGAAGAAAAATGCACGGCCAGACCAGGATTCGAACCCTAGACAACCGAGCTCTAGACAGATTCTCTGAAGAATTTTGGTATTTAGTCGCCGGTGATCGACCCAATCGAGTTCCGTTTCACTAGTTTGGATTTTAATTATGAAATGTAACTTGTCGCGTTTTTTGACAAATATAATGAATATAAGTTATTTCATATTGTACATAAAACAAAATTTCGTTGCGATTTACAGCTTAAATAGTTATTGATACATTCAGTAATCATGGATTATGCAACGATCTTTTAAAACCTCTCCTATAACCCGTTACGGATTATATACCTACCTACCTTTGGTTGCTGACAGGTTTTAAATCCTAAGGTTGTGGTATGGGATTATGTTAATCTACGTTTAAACTTGCAGTTATACTTATGAATTCCGTGTACACATTCACAGTGTATGTGTTACTGTATTTAGATGGCTAGTTCCTATACAGGTTATGCCTAGTGTACTTAATTAGTATGTGAGACAGAAAAGATTAGTCATAATTTTTCTAGAATTATTCAGATTTCATGAAAAAATTAATAGGGCCTTGTCTGAAATTGTTAAATCCTTCTGATTTTTTTTAAATATTGAATAATGTAGAGAAGAATCAAGAATTATTATGATAACTGAATAACAGTAATGAAGGATTCCTGAGATTTCAAGAGAGAACTACAATGTGTTATACGCTATGCTTGGTGTTCAATCTTTTTGTTTATAATCAATACAAAAAATGTTCAAATCAAAACTGTGTTTGACCTTAAAAATGAAACTGATTTCGGACTTAAGAGATTTATATTCCAGGTAACTCGCTCTTTATCGATTAAATATGTATACCTGTATTTTGAACCTGTACCGTTACGAACACACATATATATACACATACAAACATATAGATATATATATATTCTTATGTGACATATTTGTAAGCGCGATAAGAAGGTAAAACCTAACGTTTAACGGTAGTGAATGCTTTGCATACAAACTCACTCACCCGGAACGTATATATATATATAATCTATACATGATGTCTACAGTCGTTTGAGGTTGTCCTGTACACAAACTCTAGATCAACGTTAGACTGTACACACATATTCTATATGAACACACCTTTGTTAAGCTGGCAACGTCTGAAAGCGACTATATTTGGTCAAATGTTTATAGAATGATTAATTTCGTTTCGAGTGCTCTACCTTCTGTACGTACAAATATCGTCACCTTCGAATGGGAGTTATAATTAGACAAATGAGGATAAATATTGTGCTGTTTACCAATTAAGGTGTTCCTACCAAAGTTTTTACCTTCATGGAACGCCCGGGTTACGGTATTAGTCGTACTTCATGTATTTAATTATCATAATGGATTGTTAAAGTCACAAAGTAAATGACAGGCCAAATATTGGAAGGTTTAATAGATGTCTGTGCTGTGCTTGCAGGTATATCGAGAGTGTGAATTTACACGAAATCTGCGATGGTGCAGTCGGAGTAAACGTAGTTTTGGGCCCGTTGGTGCCATCTTGACAGCCCCAACCCGTGGGAACGTCCTGAGACTGAAAACCCGAACGTGACCACGTGTGTACCGTCCTTAAACTAAAATAAAGAGGGTCTGTCGCACTGGGTGCCCTCTCTGAAGCCTGACCGAAGGGGTCCTGCCTTCGGACTGGGAACCCTTGGGTACCGTCCGGGGACTGAGCCTGCGACCCGGGGGTACCGTACATGGGCGGACAGTCTTATGAGGGAGTGTAAGGAAGACATGTAGATGGGAGGTAGTGAGGGATCAGCCTGTCGAGTCGGAGGATATGTTTCTCATAATGGATTTACTGTATAATACAGAGTGGATACTTTCATTATGGACTCTTTTACAAATTATTCATGTTCAAGGTAAGTAAACATAGACGATTTAAAATTACTTTGCTTTTGTAAATCTTGCACTGACAGTTATGAAAATAAATTGCCAGAAACGCGATAATTATCAAAAAGTATTAATATGATTTTCGTAGCAATAACATATACATTTTTTACCATTCTTCAAAATCTCGATATCCATATATCCTCCTTACTAGGCTATCAGTATCCCGCCCCAGCAGTAGTGTATGAGTGCACTGTTGATTAGTTCAGGGCGATCTTATTGTGAAATACAAATTTAAAAGTCTGTCTGCAACTTCCATTTAAATGGTTTTAAAGAGGTCTGATTAATGTAGGATAATGGGTAGAATTTTAAAATATGAATACACACCACGTTTATCTCCCCTGCGATATACCATTACAAACAATTTTCTAAGCACCGGGGTACTAAACCTGAATAACAAATCAGTGTGTTACGTTTAATTTGGACGACAGAAAAATATTTTAATGTAATAAATTTACTTAACTACATGTTCTTGTATAATGCAAACAAATGCCTTCTAAGTATTCGAAGCTTTTCAACGTTAGGAATCACGTTGTTTAAATACCCGGTGTCATATTTATAGAGTCCTGGTGTAGTTACCCATGGTTGTCTATTTAAAAACCAGTCACTTTATAAGTCGTCAAAACGAAATTTCACAGTGAGCATACATGTATATATAAATACATATCGACGTAATTTATGTTTTACACAAAATATTGCCGAATTCTTACGGTGCGTTCAGGGGCGGATCCAGGATTTCCTAAAAGGGGGGGGGGGGGCTGAGAAATTTTTCTCAATAGTCAACGGTGTGCTGCGAAAGGCAGCAGCCCGAGCGCGTAGCGCGAGGAAGGGGAGGGTACAGACCCCCTCCCCGTAAGGGGGGTTTGGGGGAACTCCCCCCCACCCAAAAAAAAGTGTTTTCTAGAACGTCTCAGAAGCGATTTCCCGTGTTCTGAGGATTGTTTTTACGTTTAATTAACAAGAAGAAAAAAACGTATTTTAAGTATGGCCCAAAGACTTTTTTGTGTACTGAGAGAAAATTAAAGTTTCGGTTCAAATTCTCTATCAACAGTGTGTTTTAGAAGTCAGATGGTATTATTATAGGGGCAACCTGGTGATGACAAATGTATGAATCCACAGGGGGCTTGTTCATTATTACCTAATTTGGCGTCCCGCCCGCAAGGGGGTACGAGAGGTTCACCGTCAAAATATAAATCTAGTCTTCAGACATTGTACGTTTGAACAAATAACACCATAACATCGTTGCTGGGGGGTTTCCATGTGGGGGAAAATTGAGGAAAATGGTGAAAATACATGATTTTTAAAGAAATTTCTCAGGG